GCTTTTCCCCTCTCCTCCTCCCAGACCATTCATTTTAATGTTGTTTCCTTTAACTCCAGCTCAAATACAGCAAAGCGTTGTGTGTTCTTGTCCCCAGACATTATATTATACATCAGTATTCCTTTCAAAGGATTTTGTCCTTTGCTACTAGGAGGACAAGAAAGCCTTGAAAACAGGTTTCCTTATAGTGTCCAACTTGCAGGGATCCAAATATATTGTTAGATATCCAGGTTCTTCATTTTTAAATTATGCTACTTGAACCCAGTGAGAAGTATAACAATCTAAACAGAGCAGCTCCTGAAATTCAAACTTTCCAGTTAGACAGGCCTCTTCACAGACTCTTCCCACTGCACTAACACTGCAGCATCCAAAGGGGAACCTGTAAGGGCTCCAAAAAAGGTTTCGGAAGGCTTTAAGGTAGCAGTCAAGGCTCTGCCTCTGGCAGCGCTTCCTCAGCATCCTCCATCTTCCTGCCCACCGACAGGGCTCTGGGCCCTACCATGGAAGTATGCTTCCCCTTCACTCACCTCAGGCATAATCAACCAGATTAGCTCAGAGATCGTTTCATCGTCATATTAAGCCCACCGAGGCCACTTGCCCGATACAATTTTGGGTGTCCCCACGTGGCCACACTGCCGGTCAAGTCACAGGGGATTTCTGCTGGTGGGAACGCCATCACTGAAGGTGATGTTGTGACTGGCCAACAGGCACGTATCTGGCTGACTGCTGCATCCATCGGGTCTGCAGGAACGATCCACCTAGACTCTCCTAACACCCCAAAAATGACCCGTTCAGAACACACTAGGCTCTGTCCTTCATCAAAGAGCAAGAAACAAATGCTGAGCTGCTATCTCGGAAGCCCATGCAGCAGAATCTGGCTTGAAATCAGCAAGTTTCTGGCCTGAATCTGAACCAGGCTCATTAGTCTTTAGCTATTTCTGCCTAGCCTGGAGCACCTCACAGATGAAGCATATTCAGAGCCCAGACCATCTTCAACAGTGAGCATTTTGGATCCTCAAAACTGTAATCAGTCTGTTGCAACTGTTGCTGGGTTTAAAGTCAAGTATTGCAAGGACAGGTGTTCAGAGCCAAAAATCCCTTCTGAGTTAAAAGCAAACAGGGTCTGTAAAATTCTGTTGACTTTTTACTTGGAACCATCAGACCTACAAATATACCTCTTTAATACAGGAAAATCTGGATTCTGATGCAATCATCTTACTCCAGAAGCCTGGCCTAAGGCCACAGCACTATCACCAGCAGAAGTGCCCCAGTGCTCTGCTGGTGCCGCAGAGTCTCTCTCCCTTCTGTCAGCAGCAACTACAACGATAACTTAGGTTTAACCACAATCAATTTCCCAACCTGGTGCACCACACAATCACAAAGACAGTGGTGGAAGTACAAAGGAGGACGTGGCACAGCGTGGAGGTAGGTGTCCCTGGCTGGGATTATTTCCTTCAGTCCCAACGCCAGCTTTTGCTAGCTCAGAACAACCCTGAGGCTACGGGCAAGTCAGCATGAAGATGCTTCTGGTCACAGAGTCACAGGATGGTTGAAATTGGAAGGGACCTCCGGACGTCACCTGGTCCAAGCCCTTGCTCGAGCAGTGTCACCTAGAGCCAACTGCCCAAGCACCATGTGCAGATGGCTTGCGAATATCTCCAAGGATGGAGACTCCACACCTGCCTTGGCCAATCTGTGCCAGCGCTCGGTCACCCTCACAGTGACAAAGCCTTTCCTGATGTTCAGAGGGAACCTCCCGTGTTGCAGTTTGTGCCCGTGGCCTCTGGTCCTGGCACCGGGCACCAGTGAGCAGAGCCTGGCTCTGTCCTCTCTGCGTTCTCCCTTCAGGTATTTATAGATATGGATGAGATCCCCCTGAGCCTTCTCTTCTCCAGGCTCAACAGTCCCACCTCTCTCAGCCTCTCCTCGTAGGAGAGATGCTCCAGTCCATCATCTTTGTGGCCCTTTGCTGGATGCTCTCCCATAGCTCTACACTGGTGCTTTGGCAGTCTGATCCAGCTGGCAGATACTGATACCATGCTTCCTGGAAATCCCTCATCTACCCTGGAAATCTGGAAAGGCGATGGCCTGCAGGAGAGCACATGTCCCTCCCCAAAACAGGGGCCCTTTTGATCAATCAGTATGTAAAGGAGAGCCTGTCGCAGAGTGCTGTATCTTGTGTTTGACTGACTTCTTAGGGAGCAGTTGTAGCTACCAGGCACCACCTAGATGTAACACATGCCTCAATCTGAGACTAAAAAAAAAAAAATTCTGTCTTCCTTGGGAAGATGTTTATTCAAAGAGACCCAAAGTACTCGCTGTGATTTATTTTTACACCACGTACACCAAACCAAGACAGTTAAAACACTAAGTCTCCAAAGCTCTAGATATTATGTAAATAAACTCTAAATAATTGCCTGCATTAAAGTGTGGTTCAGTGTTCAGCAAGGAAAACATCTCTTGTTTTTCTTAATTAAATTCTGATTTTATCTATAACTCTAGACTGTTCTGTTTATTTACATGAAAAGTTATCCTGCTTGTTGAGAGCCAGAGCCTTATTCTGAAACTGTATGATTAATACCAGTATTTCCGAAAGCTAGGCATCAAACAGATTTATGTGACTAATGGCATGAGTCCCTCAATCAGCAGTATAAGTAAACGGAGCCAACCAGGCACATTCTTGCCGCACACAGGGCAACTTACAAATAACCTCCCGAAGAACAGAGATGATGGCTGTGAGGATATCAGTTGATACAGCCAAGAGCCACGCACTCCCAACAATCCCTAACAGCTTTTTAGGTACTGCGGGGTCAGGCAGCACCCCGAAACACACGGCTTCGACTCATGCTCAGCAACGTGGAGCAGCAATCGAAGAGGTTGTTGTCCCGTTACCAGATCTCCCTCTGCCTACAGCAGGGCTGGTGGGAAGAAACCTGTATCTCCACCTCTGCTGCTTCAGGCTCCAATCCGGCTTGTTGGTATAATCCCATCTTTACCAGCAATTTAACCCAAGGGACTCAATTAGAAAATGGAAGATGGGAGGTCCAGGTGCATGCTCCCTTCTGCCAGCTGGGAAGAGGGTGATGATGGGCAGGGGGACGGAGCAGCACTGCTTCAGCCACCAGAGCCAGCCTGGAGCGAGCTGGCCCCTGGAGCAGATGCCCTTCCACACTAGGACAAAGCACGCCTGCTTGCTTTGACTACCATATTTACATGGTTTTGGACTTCTCTCCACTGAGCAATGATGCTGGTTGTCAGTAAGTTACCCACAGTGATCCCTCAGGATGTCTCTTCACGGTATTATTAGCTTAGGCTGCGATTCCAGTTTTGACTCATGGGCGATAACCATCCCTGCACAAAAGTCTCCAGCTCAAATAGCTGGCACCTTCGCTGCAAGCACCCTACGCTGCCAGGGAGAGCGATGCTGTCCCCAGGCAGCGAGGACAGGCGCATCGCCGTTTTGGCCAGGATGATGCAGCAGCAGCACCTCTTGCACTGCAAACCCACCGCCCTGCCAACCCAGAGGTGACCGAGCCCTGCTACTCACCTCCAACCCCCCAGTCACAGCCCCGAGTCTTCATAAGACTTAAAAATTTTATTTAAAAAAACCCCTTCTACTAACTTGCTTATTTTTTATAGAAAGCTGATTATTGCCCATTTGCTGCAGACACTAGCCTGCCTGTTTAAAAAAAAAAAAATTATCCCATTGGCAGGCAACCAGTATACAAGAACATCCACAAAGAAGCTGTTACAGTTTATCGTGCAGTAATCCATGGATTAAGGTCATTAATAGCACTCGATGACATACTGCCGTGACTCCAAAGGTGCTGTTCTGGCTTGCACGATACACAGAATATAACTCCCTCACAAACATTTCCCCCTGACTTACTCTCTTATCAATCTTCAAAACAAGAGAAGAAACAAGAAAACCCAGAGAAAGATGCCTAGCACAGTATCTTGCATTGCACCAAAAAAAGTTATAATGAAAATAAATTAAGATTTTCAAATAGCACTGTATTTTCTTCTCAGTCACACTGATGCTTTCACAGTAAGAGTGTTCTTAGTGAGTAACCCAAATTTTGATCAACAGAGTTAAATTTAAAAAGCAAGCCAAGACATTCTCCTGTGCCCAAAAGACAAAGCCACAACTTAAACTTTCAAAATAAAATCTGAAGTGCTCAATTTTGTCCTTTAATTATTTATAAGAAATAAGCTTTTTCCTTCCGTTGACATGAGAACACAAATGTATCATCACAGAAAACACTGTGTACTCCCCAAATCCCAGGGGGTCATTAATCTTCTTTTATACAGTACACGAAGTATTTTCACAGAACTTTAAAAATAGGAAGTCAGAAGTTGTTGATGGCCTAACAACATAATTGCTAAATACCCTCCAAAAGGAGAGAATCCCTTCGCTCAGTTCTAACCTTATGTTGCCATCTGCACTATCCATACATGTAATTACCAATGCTACTAATTTAGCTGAGAGTCCTTAATACCAAGGGTAAACAACCCATTGTCTCAAAACTGAAGTAATGGTTAGACTTTTCTTACTTCCGTTGATTTAAATGAACTCATCTGC